CGCTGTCCCTCAGCTCTTCAGCTCAAGGCGAGCGCTCTACCACTTGAGCTACAGCGCCACTTCCGGTTTTCTGGTGGTTTATTGGAGATAGGAGTCTCATGGTCTCTCCTGCCCGGGCTGGCCTTGAACCGCGATCCTCAGATCTCAGCCTCCTGAGTAGCTAGGATTACAGGTGTGAGCCACCAGCGCCCGGCTGCATTGGTTATTTTTAAGCTATGCTCTCACTGCCCAGGCTTGCACTTGAACCTCAGTCTGCCTATTCTATTCTGTCATCCATGGCTGGATGACAGACGCACACCACCATGCCCAGCTTCTTCTATTAAGATGGAGTCTCACAGACGTTTTTGTCTGATCTCACCCTCCTTTTCTAGGGTGACAGGCACACACCACTGTGCCCAGTTATAGTAAAGAGTCTTGTGTCTGCATCACAATCCCCCTGGTACTCCTAAGTCCTGGGGTGCTTGTTACGTGGGGGCGGGTGCACACCTGCCCTTCAGGCTCAGGCCAGGCTCTTAATCTCCCCATGATGTTTGGTGCATATTATCTCAGCCTTTCCTGGCTTTTTGGGTCGTGTGTGTGTGTGTGTGGTACTAGGGTTTGAAGTCAGGTGCTTTACCACCATACCCTCAGCCCTTTCTGCTTTAGTTATTTTTCTAATAGGATCTCTCGTTTTATTTATTTATTTAGCTTTTTAAAAGTTTGAGTCTTTGCCTCCAGTGTGGGGTTTACAGGTACTATACATGGCAATTGTAGTAAGAACTTGCTTGTTAACTGTTTCTTGCCCTGTAATTGACTTCCTATTTCCTAACTAGAACTCCGGGTCCCTCCACAGATCCCCCAGTTTCGAGGCCCACAGGCTCTAGGGCCCGTTCCCACCGCCATTGGTGTCAGCATCGCCATAGACAAGATATTTGCCGCCGTCCTCAACACAGAAGACCCTGTGAGTGTGCTTTACCTTTCAGGGCGTCTCCAGACACCTCCCGGCTTGACGCCACGTTTGCTTGTCCTAGCTGAGCGGGGGGGGGGGGGGGGGGGGGGGGGGAGGGGGGGGAGAAGGCTCAGCACCTCTGGCATGCTCATGCTCTCGTAATCGACGTTGCATCAAGGCCAAGGCTCTGTGCTCAGCTCAATTCTCTCTTTTTTTTATTTGCTGGTCCTGGGGTTTGAACTCTGGGCTGGCACAGTCCCTGACCTTTTGCTCAAGGTTAGTGCTCTACCACTTGAGCCACAGTACCACCTCCAGCTTTTTCTGAGCAGTTTATTGGAGATAAGAGTCTCATGGACTTTCCTGCCTGGGCTGGGTTTGAACTGCAGTCCTCAGATCTCAGCTTCCTGAGTAGCTAGGATGACAAGCATGAGCCACTGGCGCCCGGCTCAGCTCAGTTCTGTTTCTCCCCCCCTGGAGTCAGCATCTGATGGCACAGGCTTAGGGCTCAGTACCCAAGGTTGACCCACCCCTCGGCCCCTCACCTTCCAATGCCCCTGCAGGTGGTCTGGCTTCTGACTGACTGGCTGTAGATCCTCCCTGGATTTGGGTACAAGGACCACGAGTCTGTCTCAGATGTGGCAGTCTAGTCTACCTTCCACAGGGCCAGGGCAGCCGCCTTGCATCCAGGCCTTGCCCTCTCTAGCTGGTGACCTTCCTCAGCTCCCTCCGCCCCACCCAGCCTCTCTGTGCCCCCCTGTAATGCACTCCACCACTAAGCCACATCCCCAGCCCACAATGTCATTTTTTCAAAGCAAAGCCGTCCACGCACTGTGCTGTGGCACAGAATTCCAAAAAGTGCCCGTGGGCACTGCCGCAGGGCCCCTCACACAACTGCGAATTGTCTCTCAGTGCCGCCGTTCTGTCTGTGCGCAGGTGGCAGTGAGCTCTTGTGACCTCCTGGTTGTCAGCGCTGGGCAGATGTCCATGTCCAGAGCCATCAGCCTAACCCAGAAACTCTGGGCGGCCGGCATCACGGCAGAACTCATGTACGACTGGTCACAGGTAACGGGCTGGGGAGCCATCGGGGCTCAGTGCACTCAGTTCCGGCTTCCACACGTCATCCTCTAGAGGGTAGAGGTGTGCAGGGCAGAGTGTGCACAGCCGGGGGTCGCCTGTGACCTGTCCAACGCGTGACCTCAGTGGTGCGAGTTGCTCCTGTACTCGACAGTAACAGACACCACAGACTTAGCGGCTGGTTTTCTTTCATTTCTGAAAGTTGGTGGTCAGATGTCAGTGTTGCTCGGGTCAAGGGCAGCTACCGTGCCACTCGCTTCTTCAGGAGGCTCTGGGGAGATCTTCCTTTCCTGCTCCCGTAGGCCTGTGCTACCTGGCTCCTTTAAGCTCGGCATGGAGGCCTCTTCATCCCTCTCTAAGCTGGGTCCCAACTCTGGCTGGCACACTGCTGACCCAGATCCACAATTAGGACATGCCCATCTGTGGGGGCCATGTCCAAGCCTACTGCACTTCAACGGCACCCGACCACAGCTGCACTCACCCTTCCTCCAGCCCTCGCTCTTCTTGCACAACACTTACGTCCCTGCAATCAGTCTGCTTCTCCTCTCCTCATCCTGACCTGGCTCCAGCAGTCAGGAGTTTATTTGCTCGGCTGTGTGTGTTTCAGTCCCTAGAGGAGTTGCAGGAGTACTGCCGCCATCATGAGATCACCTACGTAGCGCTCGTCTCCGATAAAGAAGGAAGCCATGTCAAGGTAAAGACTGCGAGAAACGCCTCATTTCCCAAGCGGGGCACAGCCCCTGGGGTGCGGGCTGCAGGGGAGGGGGGACCCCCGTGTGGTGGGCCCTGTCCAGTGTCTCTCTGGGGAAAGGGGATAAACGAGCACGAGCGCTCGAGCACTTCTAGGGCTTGCAAAACAAAACCAGAGAGAAAACTATGGCTAGGTTCTTCCTGCTTTCCTCACTCATTCTTTCTCCACCTTGAAAAGTAAGAATAACAAGCAAAGCTGCACGGTAAGCCTGCCTGAGGAGTGAGTTTAGTTCCAAGCATGTCCAAAAGAAAAAGAAATTTCAAGGGTTGGCGGTATGGCTCAGTTAGTAGAGCACCAGCCAGTGACCAAAACAAACAGGTACTGAGTTCCTGGTCCTGGACCAAAAAAGCAAAGAAATTTCAAATGTAAAAGTTTTTAATTTCCACTCATGCATTACATGCGTACATGTATGTGGCATATGTATGGAGTATATGAACTGTACAACAGCATCCGTCTATTTCTCTCTCATCTTTTGTGCTGTTGCCAAATATTTTATATATGTTATATCCCATATCTCATAGATACATGTATGTTTTATACATGTAGTCACACACATATAAACATATATATATATGCATAAATTTTTTGGTGCTATTAGGGTTCAAACTTGGGGATTGATATTTGTTTAGGAAGTGTTCTACCATTTGAGCCATGCCTCCTCCCCTTTTACTTTCATTGTTTCTGAGCAGGTCTGAACTCTGATCCTCTTATGACTCCCACTGTAGTTGGAATGACAAGACATACACTATGTGCACAGCTGTTGGTTAAGCTTGGGTCTCTCAAAGTTTTTACCTGGCCTGTACTTGAACTGCAGTTCTTTCCTCCACCTCCTGAGTAGCTGGAATTACAGATATAAGCTACTGCGTGTAGCTTTTGATGTACTTTTTAAATTCAGTTATCTTTTTATAAAAGGCTTTTAAAATAAAGGTTTTTGGTTTTTCTTTTTGGTCAGTCATTGGGCTTGAACTCAGGGCCTAGGCACTGTGCCTGAGCTTTTTTGCTCAAGGCTAGCCCTCTACCACTTTAAGCCACAGTGCCATTTCTAGTTGCCTGTGTTTAATTGGAATTCTGCAGTGTTGGAGCATGCTCTGACTGGGTAGAAAGGGTCTCGGATCTCCTGCAGTCCAGAATCCATACTCCTTCTATACTCCTCCTCAGCCTGTGGATCAGGTGGCTCTTAGCAACCAGGAGGCTCTTTTGGCACATACTGAACTTACCACCACCTCAGACCCATTGGCTTTTCCAGTTACCATGTCTGGCTGCCTTCCAGAATGGAGGCTCATGTTTCTCTGGTTCATTTTGCTACATCACTAAGCCTGTCAAGCTCCTTTCAACGTCACTTGTGCTTCCGCCAATGGACGCTCGGCAGCATCATCCTCATTTTTGGAACGCAAAAGAGATCACTTAGCCAGGTGCCTGTGGCTCACGCCTGTAATCCTAGCTGCCTAAGAGGCTGAGATCTGAGGATCGTGGTTCAAAGACAGCCCAGGCAGGAAAGTCCGTGAGACTCTTATCTCCAATAAACCACCAGAAAACTGGAAGTGGCGCTGTGGCTCAAGTGGTAGACCTCTAGCCTTGAGCTGAAGAGCTAAAGGACAGCGACCAGGTCCAGAGTTCAAGACCCACACCAATCAAAAGAGATCCCTTGTGTTGTCTGTCCAGCATGGTATTTTTCGCACTCAAAATGTGGAAAGATTGGACTTAGGACCATGGCGAAGAGAGAGACATCGAAGCCTCAGGCCCTGCTGTTTGTGTAGGAATTATGGCTAGAAAATGCTCAGGGCCTAGGAAGGTGGCTCAGTGGTAGAGCGCTTGCCTTGCATGCATGAGGCCCTGGGTTCGATTCCTCAGCACCACATAAGCAAAAAGAAAAAAGCCAGAAGTGG